AAATTCGCATTGCATAATTCTCTAAATATCACTTTCCCCCGTCTTCTGAATTCTGAAAGAATCTACGACAGTCTGCAAAAACCTCAGCATAAAAAGTAAAAGCGTATGCGAACATTATGGATTTCCATTTCGCCGGCGCTATTTCATCGCCTAATGCATAGTTACGTTAATTGTTATGTGAAGCATGCAAGATCACATCAATATAAAAAGTTTGCAGGACATAAATATATGTAATAAATAATAGAAATATCATTCTTCTCACTGTTAACTCTCATTTTTCGAAAGTTGTAAGGTTCTAAAACAATGGAAAGTTTCCTTTCTAACGGCAGTAATGATCAGGTTACTATCACATTAATAATCACAGCTAAATAAGTAATCTATAAAAGTCAAACCAAATATTCACTATTCAAGAAATAACTATTAGCATTTTGAGGTTCAACAACAACCATTAATTGAGCTCCTTTTGCTAATAATGAATCCGAAAATGCAACAATATCATTAATTGGCATTGGTTCGTTTAATTTTGAGTCGAAATTGAAAAATCCAGCAACACCTATTTGTCGTACAGTAAACCAGTGATGTCCCGTCCAGAGTGGTATAAAGCCACGCGATGAGATATTGAATATAAAACCGAAAATCTTGGAAAAGTCCAAACAAGTAGTGGAACGTCTCGAATCGAACCAGTTCACCATTAGATTTTTTGTTTCCAACGCCGCAATCAACACGTTAATGTCATAATTACCAAAGCCGAACATTGAACGATGTCGATTGAACCAGCGAGAACTATGTAAATTTTCCGCGATACAATCCAAATCAATCTTCTTAAATTCATTTCTCTGCAACAACGTATTTAATGTATGCACCAAACAGAGCTGCATTCGTTGTTTCTCGTGATATAATTGTCCTGTTGAGATCATACTTCCACATGATTCATCAACATTCATCTATAAGAAATCCTTCTTCAGTGATATCACAGTACATTAGTTGCGAATATGTAACGTCCTCCGAAATCATATTTCTCACAAGTATCAGCGGACAGAAACAAATTCGTATTACTAGAGTTACATCATTTCACTGTTAACTTAAAAATGAATCTACACAAACAACAACAGTTACCAAAATATGATCAATTTAACGTTTGAGAGTGTAAATATTATGAGGACTATCCATCCTAATTCGGAATATTAAAAAATAATCATCATTTATGTATAACCAACTGTATATGGATTCTAATAACACCGGAGCGCAGGACAGGACATACTTGATAGTATTAATAATTTTATTTCCAACATCAACAACAAAATGCTTGATAATAAATTACATCATTTTGGTATATTATCTTACATTTTACTTTTTCTATCTTATTTCATTTCTTCTAAAAACAAATTATTAATCTTCTTATGTAAAAGATGTGAATAAAGAAACTAGCCAGAGATTAACCTTTAAAATAAATGGTTGAATAACTTTTTTCATGCAATGAGCACTTGAGCAATGTTACTTTTATGGCGTTAGGTTTTTGAGGAAATTATATTACAGGTACTTGACCGCTTTTTCATTTCCTGATGCTTTTTTTTTATTTATTTGTTATACATATATTTCCGAGAAAAAAACATAATAACTAAGGAATCACCTACTATTACGGTATGCACTAGTCTTCGCATTCTTGAACTGAAGAAAAGTGAAAGAATGTTAGTACTCTGGTTTGAAGTGCTTCTGGAATTCAAACTTCATTTTGTGTCTATTCATTTTCATTTTCCTTACATGAAAATAGATGTACTGCAACAGTGTATTTGAAATCATATAATCATAAGTCTTAATTTCCATCACCTTTATTAAATTTATTTCTTCTCGCCTCTGAGCTGAGCCCTTTTACCTTGTCCAATTGGTGGATACAGCATTTTTCCGCGTGCTAGCTTCAATCGATTCTGAAATGAATAAAAAGCTTCACTTTCTCAAATCAATGGTAAGCTTTACCGAATGGCAATGAAAAAATGACAAAATCTGACATACAGCAAAAATAAAATCTTCTTTCATGATAAAGTGAGCACTACTCCCCGTTTTGTCCATTTAAATTTAATGCAGCTCAACTTTAAAATATCATAATGTGGTATTGCAACATTTACCTGTACTTCTCTCCATACAACATGTTCATCAAAATAAAGACCATGGAACCGCAACATTTTTGTTAGATAGTGGAACATCGGTTGATTAGGATAATAATCAATCTAAAATTATAAAATTCGTTTTGCTTAACTTCATTTATAAGTTTTAGAATTTATTGTACTCAAATTCCAAATACACTTCGGTTTTCCGAGGATTCTACTTTTTTTTAAATAAGAAAAAAAATCCAATTTAATGTAGTGAATGTAAAACACATTTTTCAAGATAAAAAAAAAAATCAAAATCAACATCTATTATATATATACTAGTCGTAAAAGGGTTCAGCTCAGAGGGAGAAGAAATAGATTTAATGAAGACGATGGAAATTAGAATTCATGATTGTATGATTTTAAACACACTATTGCTCATGTGAGGAAAATGAAAATGAATAGACACAATGTGAAGTTTGAATTCCAGAAACAATTCAAACTAGAATACTAACATTCCTTCACTTTTCTTCAGTTCAAGAATGCGAAGATTAGTATTATATA